GGGGCACTAGTGGCGGCCTCGGTACAGACAGCATACCGCTCGTGACCAGGGAACGTAGTGGTGACGCCAAGGTCCTGGAGGCAGCCGACACCAACTAGGTTCCTGGAGAACGAGGGGATATGCAGACCGGTGAGCGAACCTGAAGGAACCGCCGGACAGGGAAGGGAGGTGGAACTGCGGGCAAAGACGGGACCACCGGAGGGGTCAGCAAGAGTAACTGCAGCAGGAACAGGCAGCGGCGTCAGCGTCGTGGAGTCGCGGAAGAAACACCGGGAGGCGCCAGAGTCCAAGGTGAAGGAAAGCGCAGCAGTCGCGCGGGGCGACAGTGAAGCGGTGGAAGCACCGAGGCTAAGCAAAGCAGGAGATCCTACGCCTGACGCAGCAGGGGAGTCTACGCTAGGCACAGCTACACTAGGCAACACGGGGTAATAAGAGGGAAGCACACTAGAGTCATCGGCATACATCACATGCAAGGCTGCTACAATGGCATCCATGTCCAAGTCAAAAATCCGAATGCTACGCCTAAGCAAGCTGTGCCAGTCCGGGAGGTCGGGCGCCGGGCCAAAGCGCTGGCGGAACAGGTCGTCCAGACGACGAAAACAGCGAGGAGTGGAATGACCGATCTTACCGCAAACGAAGCCGCGGCGAGGACCGGTCTGGATCTGGTACTGACAGGGCCCGCCTCCAGAACCACCACCCGGTGCACCACCACGCGCACGACCACCACCAGCTCCAGGCCACCCAGGCGGGAGAGCACTCGCCGGCCTCGTCTGCGGCGGCTGCTGCGGCTGCTGCGGAGGCTGCTGCTGCTGCGGCTGCTGCAACGGTGGAGGCAGCGGGGCAGCTGGACCGGGCAGGGTCCCCACGTCCGCACCGGCACCGGACGACCCGCCTCCACCACTACCCCCACCCGCACCCCCGCCACCTCCGCCGCTCCCAACCTTGGGGCGGCGGCCCTTCCCCGAGCGGGACTGCACTGCAGCAGCAGTCTCAGCCACAGCGACAGAGCCGTCGGAGAAGGTACACTGAGCGGGGGCACAACCCTGAAAGATAGGGACCGGTACTGTACCGCTCGCCTGGGCTATGGAGCGGTGACGAGTCTCTATGGCAGTCAGGGTGTCAACAAAGTCGGTGAGGGTGAGAGCAGCAGGGTGGATGCTAAGGAACTGGTCGCGGGCGGCGGCAAGGCGGTCAGGGAGGCGGGTGGCAAGGAGGTAGAGGGTAGAGGTCATGGGAGGCTGGTGGACTCTAAGCTGTGCATCAGTGCAGGCAGCGCGCCAGGCCTCATCTATCGAGCGCAGGTGGGCAGTGAGGTCAGAGATAGTGGGGAAGGACGCCAGGTCAGGAAAGAGCAGGGGGAGGATCAGGCGACCCACTGAGGCAGCAGGAGGGGTAGAATAGCGCTTGATGACAGCATCGAGGTAGGCCTGGGCGGTAGTAATGGTTCTAAAGCGAGGGCGCTCAAGGGGGGGGAGGGCATTGCTAATGGCGAGCTGAGCAAGGGCATCGCGGGAAAGCCAGACAGAGCGGGCAAGGGCAGCGGCGGCAGTGGACTCGCGCTCAGCGGGCGTGGGATCAGCAGGCAGCACAGCAGGGGGGTCAGGGCAGGGGAGCATACCGTCTAGGTGTGCAGAAAGCGGGTGGCCGTCCTGCCGCTGACCAGTGAGGTGGCGGCGAAGGTCAGCCAACCACGCCTCGAACTCCAGAGGCTGACCCTCAGCATCAAAACGAAGCTCAGCAGCCATGAGGGGCAGTGGAGGACAGTGGAGTGCGGTGTAGTGCTGTTCAGTGCGGTGTAGTGCTGTTCAGTGCGGTGCAGTGCGGTCAGTGCGGTTCAGTGAGGTGCAATGCGGTGCAAGGCGGGGCAGGAAAGTGCAGGAGGGTGCAAAGTGGTGCGGGGAACGGGGGACAGTACCAGGAAGTATGGAGGGCCGGGGCAGGCGCGACGGGGCCGGGCAGGCGCGACGGGGCCGGGCAGGCACGTCGAGGCCGGGCAGGCGCGACGGGGCCGGGCAGGCGCGACGGGGCCGGGCGGCTGCGACGGGGCCGGGCGGCTGCGACGGGGCCGGGCGGCAGCGACAAGGCCGGGCGGCAGCTACGAGGCCGGGCGGCTGCGACGGGGCCGGGCGGCTGCGACGGGGCCGGGCGGCAGCTACGAGGCCGGGCGGCAGCGACAGGGCCGGGCGGCAGCGACGGGGCCGGGCAGGACACAGCAGGGCCGGGCGGGGGCGACGGGGCCGGGCGGGCGCGACGGGGCCGGGCAGGTGCGACAGGGGCCGGGCAGCTGCGACAGGGGCAGGGCGGGCGCCACGGGGCCGAGAGGCCGCGACAAGGCCGAGCTGGGGCGACGGGGCCGAGCAGGGGCGACGGGGCCGAGCAGGGGCGACGGGGCCCAGGAGGGTGGATACGGGGCCCAGGGAGGAGCGCGGCAGGGCCCAGGAGGGGCGCAACAGGCCCAGGAGGGGCGCTACGGGCCCAGGAGGGGCGCAATGGGGGGGGGGCCCAGGAGGGGCGCGGCGGGGCCCAGGAGGGGCGCAATGGGGGGGGGGGGGCCCAGGAGGGGCGCTACGGGCCCAGGAGGGGCACTACGGGCCTAGGAGGGGCGCGACGGGGCCTGGGAGGGGCACGACGGGGCCCAGGAGGGGCACTACAGGGCCCAGGGAGGGCGCGACGGGTCCCAGTAGGGGCGCTACGGAGCCCAGGAGGGGCGCGACGGGGCCTGGGAGGGGCGTTACGAAGCCCAGGAGGGGCGCTACGAAGCCCAGGAGGGGCGCGACGAGGCCCAGGAGGGGCGCTACGGGGCGCTACGGGGCCTGTGAGGAGCGCGACGGGGCCCAGGAGGGGCGCTAAGGGGCGCGACGGGGCCCTGGAGGGGCGCTACGGGGCGCGACGGGGCCCTGGAGGGGCGCTACGGGGCCCAGGAGGGGCGCGAAGGGGCGCGACGGGGCCCTGGAGGGGCGCTACGGGGCCCAGGAGGGGCGCTAGGGGGCGCGACGGGGCCCTGGAGGGGCGCTATAGAGCCCTGGAGGGGCGCGACGGGGGCCTGGAGGGGCGTTACGAAGCCCTGGAAGGGGGGCGCGACGGGGCCTGGAGGGGCGCTACGAGGCCCTGGAAGGGGCGCGACGGGGCTAGGGGGAGGGGTCGCGACTGGGCTCAGGAGGGGCGAGGCGAGGCTAGGAGACGCGACGGGAGGAGCGGAAGCGGTAGGTGGGGGGGGGGGGGGGTCGAAACCTACTCGTGATACCATATCAAACCTAGAATTGAATAATGTGAGAGAGAGAGTACACAAACATATACCTAAATGTTGTACTCTCTAGAAGGTGACCCTATACAGTCTATACAAACATGATAACTACACATGTTTGACAATATCGCCTAAGGGGTTGTACTCTAGATGGTCATGCACCTATCTAGGCTATTGCAACATATACAAATATGTTTGACAGCTAGGAGCTAGCTAGGTTATCAGAAGAACTTAGGACACTAGCTACTTAAGATAGGATACTAGGAGGGTAGGAAAGCCGCCATCGAATGGCGTGAGGGAAGTGGATCTAGTAGGGGGAGAGAATATCGAGAAAGAAGAGAGTTGATTAGGAAGAGAGAGCAGTACAAGAAGGGGATTGTACCCTCTACAGAACGGTTCAGTAACAACCTACCAAGCCTATATTAAATTATAACTTATATAATTTTAACACACCCCCTAGGCTTGGTAGTCAAGCCCACGCACACCCCCACACCCACACCCACACCCACACCCCCTAGCCCAGCACCCCCATTCCCAGCAGGAGCCGCAACGACTCCGGAAGAGGGTAGGTCTCACGGCCCCTTGAGACGGCAATGGCGACAGCAGCGACAGTGACGACGGCGGCGGCGGCGGCGGTGTGCGGCGGTGTGCGGCGGCTCCAGGCCTGCGGCAACAGCGGCGGCGCCGGCGGCTCGAACGACAGAGGCTGGTGCGGCGGCCCCCGCCCTCTCGGCGGCATGTCCTGTCTCCTCGGCGGTGGAGAGGTCCCTCACATGGCAGTCATCGACTGCAGCAAGAAAGGGGGGGGATGCAGGGGAAGCAGGTGCAGGTGGGGGGGGAGGGGAGGGGGCGGGGCGAGGCGAGTCTTCAGCGACGCACCATAAGTGGCGCGGCGCTTACTGGCAGGAGGCTGGGCAGGGGGCGACGGGGCCGGGCAGGGGGCGACGGGGCCAGGCAGGGCGGCGACGGGGCCGGGCAGGTGCAACGGGGCCGGGCAGGGGGCGACGGGGCCAGGCAGGGCGCGACGAGGCCCAGGAGGGGCGCAGCCGCAGCGTCGCGCTGACGTCGTCCCGGTCGCGTGTCGAGACGGCCGCGGCAGGACGGCGCAGCCGGCGAAAAGACGACGACGCCACAGCGTGACGCCGCCGCGGTCGCCATGGCAGCGTCGATGCCGCAGCGGGACGTCGACGCTGCGACTGCAGAACGACGGCCCGACTCCACGGCAGCGCGTCGAGCCGGTCGCGGCACGACGCGGCCAGTGGCAGCGCGACGTCGCCACTGCAGCAAAACGCGGCCGCCATGGCCGCTCGAGCGAATGAGAGTGAGGAGTAAATGGCGGAAGCATGAGGAGGCGATCCAACAGGGAGGATCTCCTGCTCTGATACCATATCAGAAGAACTTAGGACACTAGCTACTTAAGATAGGATACTAGGAGGGTAGGAAAGCCGCCATCGAATGGAGTGAGGGAAGTGGATCTAGTAGGGGGAGAGAATATCGAGAAAGAAGAGAGTTGATTAGGAAGAGAGAGAAGTACAAGAAGGGGATTGTACCCTCTACAGAAAGGTTCAGTAACAACCTACCAAGCCTATATTAAATTATAACTTATATAATTTTAACATAGGTCGCCATGAGAAAAAGCGAGAGGTTTAGCTAGGGGAAGAGTTACGAGAGAAACTAGGAAGAGAAAGAGATACAAGAAGGGGGGGTTGTCCCCTCTACAATAGCACACTTACCAAGCCTAAACAAATATATACTTATATATATAATATATATAATTTGACATCCTTTGTGTGCTCAAGAGCTCCTGGATGGTACGAAGATGACATGCACTAGAACTACACTACACACATGCGGTGCTGTGTCTGCAGCACCGTGGCAGGTGAGTGTTGACATTTCTAACATCACCATCTGAAGAATCCCCCACAGCAGACGGTACGGAAGCCATTCCAAGAGCATGCACTGCCTTGATCACCACCACATGGTTCCTCCAGCCTTGGGTCCAGCAGAGCACATGAGCAGCTTCAGCTATCTTGATGCCTAACCACTATCCGTCCTCCAGACTCACCAAGCTTTCCATGCTACAACACCCCGGCAAGCAGGGTGCAAAAAGGTGATGCCTTCACCACCACATTCCCAACACCCCACCTCTTGACCACATTGGATAGGCTGCTCTGTGCTCCCCACCACCAACATCCCACTTTCCAGCATGAAGTGCTTGCTGACTCTGTCCAGCACTCCTAGCAGCTATCAAGGCCTCCAGTGAGGCCTTACTGCTACTGCTCTTGTACTCCTGGCCGGCTGCCTTCCTCTGCATCCCATGCTGCTCTTCCTCTCCTGCTGATGCCTCGCTGTGCTGCGTGCTGAGGCTGCAGGCTGGGCTCCCGCATCGACTTCTCCACTCCGTGGCTGCTGCTCCACTGCAGGAGTGACCCTCACGATTGCTCTTGGCTTGGGGATGAGGGACGGCAGCAGCCTTGCACTTGCTGCAGCCGCTTTTGCCGCTCTTGACTTGTTGCATAGAGCAGAATCAGTCGTCCTTGAAGTCATGTTCACAACAGGAACCTCCACTGTAGTCACGTTTGGCGAGGTGAAGTCACTGGTGCAGCTGACATCACTGCTGCTGGTATCACTGCTGCTGACATCAGTGCAGCTGGTATCACTGCTGCTGACATCAGTGCAGCTGACATCACTGCTGCTGACGACGCTGACCTCGTCTGACGTGTTGTCACAGCAATCAACGTCACTGACAACGCTAGATGTGTCACTCAACGGAATCACACTGCTGATACAGTTGCTGCCAGCAGCGCTGCTCACTTCAGCTTTCTCACTGCAGCTGACCTCGTTGTCATTGCTGTCGTTGATGACGTCGCTGGAGTCATTGCTGCTTGCTGTGCTGCTGAAAGTCAGGGAGCTCGTCTTCAAGGAGGGTGTCTCGTTGGAGGTGACGTTGCTGGAGGTGCTGCTGTGGTTGGGACTCGCTGAGTTGCGAGTTGACAAGCTCAGCCGCATAACCTGCTTCTGGATCACGCATCGGAGTTCCCACATGCGACGGGCTTCAGAAACCGAAGGGTAGACATAGGATGCCATGAAAACAGCTGAGGAAAGTTGAGACGAGCCGAGAACTGTGAGCGTAGAGTGACAGACAGTAGAAGCTCTGCGAACTGGAGTTTGCTGGAAAGTTGCTGAACTGAAATTTGGATAATGCGACTGCGGATTTGTACCAGAAAAGGACTGTGTCGGACAGAGGGAAGAGCAGGCAGCGGAGAGAGCGAGGGCTTCTCATAGGGGTTGCTGGAAGGGGGAACAAAGGCGACGGGCAGGATAGGTCTGAAGAACCTTTGCATGTGCGGCTCCAGAAGAGTCTGAAACATGCGCTTGAGCTGCCCGGCCTAAGCCATTCACGCTGAAAACTTCTGAATCCGTCGGGACGAATCCGTCGGGGGCCTTTGGGACAGGAGAGCGACGCCAGAACCCTGTCTTCCGCTGCCCCCCAAGAAATTGTGGTTTCTGCCCATCCAGAGACACCGTTCCTGCCCGGAGATTCTCACGTCTCTTCCCGATTTTGCTGCGTGTGACAGGAGCGACTCCATCAAGGGCCGAAGGGCGAATCCCAAGGGCAACAGGCATGCGAAATATATTCGGGGAGAGATGTGGAACTGCCAGCGAGAAACACGCGATGATCCAGATCTGGTTACCCGCGAGGGGCAGGAGGCGCCAGCGACGAAAATGGACTACGGAAGTGGTTACCCGACAATTTTCGCCTATAACGCCCACACTGGAGTCTGCGGCCAATCTCGATGGTCTGTCCACACCCGTGAAGCAAGGGACCCCTCGTGAGAACCTCCATGGCTGGTGCTCTCCTCCTGGCAAGAAATAATCGGTGGACTATTAGGAGAAATCGAGGAGAGGAAAAACTCGGTGGGGGGTAATCTGCATTCGATACGGCGTTTTGCGTGCTTTTTGTATAGCTGTGCCTCGCAACAAAATATAGGGTATGTAGGCAGTTGCTTTTTACAATTTTATCATTTTGCATGTCAAGCACGCTAATACTTCCTATTTATTGCCAACTTTCCTCAATCAGTTTGCGTCACTTACATAGGGAGAATTGGCTTCCTTGCCTAGGCTTTATCCCAATCATCTACCCCATTGACGAGCTTCTTCAACAATTCATCGAACCTGTCTTTACTTGCCTGAATCAAAGTGCTTAGACTAACTGCTCTCTGCTGCACCTGGCCAGGCTTGACATTCTCTCCCTGTTGCCCTTCAAATTTTAGTCCCTCCTCATAACCCTCGCTAACAACCAGATGGCCATGATCCGTCCTACTACCTATATCACCACCAAGGTCAGCTTTACCCATCTGAACCTGAGCGTTATCCCCTTCGTTGCGACCACGGTCGTTCTCTTCCCAGCTACCACTGCTGCTATCACCACCGTCAGCATTTCTCCATCTGCCCCCATCAACCATACCTCTTGGCAGGCACACAATCCCCTTGTCTGTCTCCACTATCCCTATCCCTGCTTCCTGCAGCCGCTGCACCCGGGGCCGTATCCTTTGCTCCAGGCTGTAGCACGCCACCAGAGGCACGGCCGCTACAGCGGCCAGTGACAGCCCCAGCTCTCTCTCAAAAAACTCCGCCTTGGGCTCAATGTTGCTCTTCCAGCTCAGATGCAGCAGCGCAGGGTACCGCACAAACAGATTTGCTAATTTCGGGGGTGGAAGGTGGGAAAGGAGAGCGCGCCAATGCTCAAAGTTAGACCGCATGGTTGTGGAATTTGTTGATAAAATGCTCGACCGCTTCCCCACCACCTTCTGAGCGTTCTCCGGCCCAACGATCTCGCACAAGGTGTGGAATGTGGAGGTCATCTTGCTGGCTGAGTGCGCTGGCAGCCGTCGGATCTGCCGAAAAACTTTCAGAGCGTCCTCTTCCGACCCTAGGATATCCCGGAACACGTCCAGCTTGGATTGGAGCTCTGTGATTGGCTGCGTCAGGATGTACGGCTGGCGCCGCACGATGCTGGTGACGTGGCCCTCACCGGCCACCTGAGCCAGGAAATCCAATCTCTCCTGAACCCTTTCAGCAGAAATCAGCAGCAGACGCGGGCAGGCTTTAATGATGTACGAGATATCATCAATTCCCAAGTCCAACAGCTTTTGGACACGTGGCTGCAGCTGAATGGCCGCATTGCAGGAGAAAGCGCGCGGAAACCGCCTCAGAACCGTCCCCAGACTCTCCCCGTCTTTCAGCCCGAGCCCCCTCAGAAAAGTCACAACCTCTTTTATTTTTTCCACGGGCTGCCCGAGCCACACGGAGTCGTAACGCGCGCTTTGCGCCAGGTCGCGCGGCTGCACGCCGCACGCCAGCAGCAGGCGCACGCCGGGGAGGACCTTCTCCGCCACGTCGATCCGCGCGAGCCCCGGGCGCCCGCGCATCAGGAGAAGCACCTGGCGGTCGTCCATCCGCCATCCGCGGAAGAGATCGAGCAGCAGCGGGGGAACCTCTTCGACCGAGTTAAACCGTAGCTGAGTTGAATCGTGGTGAGCTGATGGAGCTGATTGAGCTGATGGAGCTGATGGAGCTGATGGATGATTATCATCTGCTACCGATGCGCGATTCGTTTCGAGAGATGCGGGCATGACTGCGGCCGTAGTATCAACGGAAGGGACTTGACGATATGCGCTGATGTGTACGAGCCTTTGTCCGCTTGCAGGAAAACAACTTCTGCCGTCGACGGCTCTTACGCCTTCGAATTGCCACCGTGCTGCTACCGTCGCGGCCGTTCCAGAGTTGATCGCACCACCCCGCATTTGTGCAAAAGCGCGCGAGCAACTCAAGCCAAACTCGCCACTCGCAACAACCGGCCATTGCGATGGCGCGTTGCGATCTGAGGAGGAACGCGTCGCGTCATTCGGGCTATCCGCGTCATCAGTTGTAAGACAAGCCGATTCTACTATACAGGCCGCCGAGGGGTTGTGCACCGCGATTGTAGACATGGCAGCAGAGAGGCAGTGGAGAGTGGCTGGCGGCCGACGGAGGCGGAGCGAGACGAGACGATGCGCAGCGCGAGCTAAGCGCAGTGTGCCTGCACGACGCTCCATTGGCATCGGCTTGAGCGGAGAGGAGGAGATCAGCGCGGCTCATGGGACAAAAGCATTGTGACTGTCAGCCCTGCCGTGACATGCAGCAGAAGAAGTCCTCCTGCGTGCTTGCGAAGCCAGTGGAACATTCTTGAACTCGTGAGGGAGGAAAGGGGTAGGGCTTGCTGCTCGACGCTTCTCGTCGGTTCTGTTTGGTACAGGATGGCAATATAATATCCAAACGCAGGTCCTTTAGCTATAATCTACTATACTCATGTATGCACTTGTTGTCATGCCCATTCGTATGGATAAAATTTCCATAAGCAGCGACGTGCAAAAAAAAAATCAGTGGATCTGGAAAATGCAAGGCACAATAACTAGTAGTTGAGATTGGTAACCAATTTAGACTATCTCCGTGCTGGGTATTGAAGGGTGGATGTTTGACAGCCCACTTCACACGAAAACCTCCGTAACTATTATGCCCTTTCTCCCACGCACCTCTCAAATTCATCCCCCACTGATGTTTTTTGGCAGCCTGTCATTCTCGATTATGTCCTTGAAGAGCACCAAACCTCGAGTTCCTCAGGCGTGACGTGCTTCATGGTAGTCTGACCCTCGAGATTTGGCTGCAGCCCCTAGTCCGGACGTTACTAGAGACGAATATCTTCGGGTGACCACCTTGGTAATCCCTTGTCGTCGTTTTCGCTACGTGCCTATCGCGGGTAACCAGATCTGGGTCATCGCGTTTTTTTCGCGCTGGCGATTCCATGGCTCTCCCCGAGTATGTTTCGCATGCCTGCTTCCCTTGGGAATCGTCCTTCGATCCTAGAGAGAGTCTCTTCACGAACAGCAAGTCGCATTTTTTTCCGCGGGCTGGCGCGCTGTCAAAAGCCGGGCAGCAATCACAACTGCTTGAGGGCAGCGGAAGACAGGGTTCTGGCGTCGCAGTCCTGCCCCACAGGCCTCCGATGAATTCGTTTTCGTTCCGCCAGCAGATATACTACAGAGTCGGTGCGAAATGTTTTAAGCCGGGCAGCTTCCGACTCTTCTGGAGCCGCTCGGGCAAAGGTTTAAAAAGCCATTCCTGCCCGTCGGCTTTGTCCCCCCTTCCGACAACCCCTCTGAGGAGTCCTCGCTCTCTCCTCTGCCTGCTCTTCTCTCTCTCCGACAGAGTCCGAGTCTGGTACAAATCCGAAGTCCCATTATCCCATCTTCAGATTCCTGCAGCTTGTTCAGTCGAATCACTTTCCAGCAAACTCCTGTTCGCAGAACCTCTACTGTCTGTCACTCTACGCTCACAGCTTTCGGCTTTCAGCTTTCTCAGCTTTCCTTAGCTGTTTGCATGGCATCCTATGACTACCCTTCGGTTTCTGAAGCCCGTCGCATGTGGGAGCTCCGATGCGAGGTCCAGAAGCAGGTTGTGCAGCTGAGCTCGTCAACTCGGGGTTCAGCGAGACCCAACCACAGCAGCACCTGCAGCAACGTCACCTCCAACGAGACAGCCTCCTTGGAGGTGAGGTCTCGGACTTCGAGCAGCAATGACTCCAGCGGCGTCAACTGCAATGATGGCGTCACCGACGTCAGCTGCTACAGTGACTCTAACGACAGCAATGACAACGAGGTCAGCTGCAGTGAGAAAGCTGAAGTGAGCAGCGCTGCTGACAGCAACTATATCAGCAGTGTGATTCCGTTGAGTGACACATCCAGCGTTGTCAGTGACGTCAGTTGCTGTGACAACACGTCAGACGAGGTCAGCGTCGTCAACAGCAGTGATGCCGGCAGCAGTGGTGTCAGCAGCACCAGTGACGTCACCTCGCCAAACCTGACTACAGTGGAGGTTCCTGTTGTGAACGCGACTTCAAGGACGACTAAGTCTGCTGTAAGCAGCAAGTCAAGAGCGGCGAGAGCAGCAACAGCAAGTGCAAGGCTGCTGCCGTCCCTCATCCCCAAGCCAAGAGCAATCGTAAGGGTCGCTCCTGCAGTGGAGCAGCCATGTGACGGAATGCTGGATGCGGTATCCCAGCCTGCAGTCACTGAAAGTAGCAAAGCAAGGCTTCATCAGGAGAAGAAGAGCAATACGGGATGCAGAGGAAGGCAATCAGCCAGGACGACAAGAGGAGCAGCAGAAAGGCCTCACTGGAGGCCTTGATAACTGCCAGCGGTGGAGGCAGAAAGCACTTCATCATGAGCTGATGGTGGAGCACAGAGCAGCCAAGCCAAATGTGGTCAAGGGGTGTGTGTTAGGGGAATCTGATGATTACGGCAGCACCTTTTGTCAAACATGTGTATCTCTAATGTTTGTATAGACTGTATAGGGTCACCTCGTAGAGGGTACAACATGTTGGAAATATCTCAAGGACTTGCGTTTCTGAAGTGTAACACCACACTCGAGGAAGATCGTAACGAGTACGCGAGTCAACGGAGGTTGCACAAGGGGATGGACAAAGAACACGAAAGGACTCGAAGGGTTGCAACCGGAGCTTTGAGTTCGAGCTGCTGATGGAGGCTGCGCATCTCTTGGGATACTTCAACGGGTCCCTGCCATTCCCAAGCAACGGCACTGCAAAAGACCAAGAAATTTTTACGTATCAGTCGCTGCTGGCGTACACAGTCCTCCTGCGGAACCTGTCACCACAAGAACAGCAAAGCATCAGAACATATCGGAGCTATGGAAACTCCGCGGAACTCGCATGGCATCACCTCAAGTATCTCTATCAAGCAAACGACAGCGTGACACAGAGCAGACTCATGCAACAGCTGACAACAATACAGATGAAGACCGGGGAAAAAGCGATGCAGTATATGAGTCGATGTCAGACACTCCGCGACCGCCTGCTTCGGTGCGGAGGAACAATCACTGAAGAAAGCTTCGTGACGCTTGTCCTCGCCGGACTCGGGCCAGAATGGAGAACCACTCGCTCGCTCCTTCGCGCCCACGGACGAATCTCGGAGATGCACCTCTGCGCCGAGCTCCATGCTGAACAACAGGAGACGGACCTGTTTGAAGAAACACAACCAAGAAAGCAGCAACCGTTAGTCTTCTACACTCAACGAAGGAACGACAACAACTACAATCGACGCGGGAAGCAAGAACAACGCGACAACAGAGGACTCACCATTGTGCCGCCGTTCTGCCACAACTGCCAAACATCCGGACACTCCAAAGTCAACTGCACACGTCCCCGAGCTTATCGTCCAGTAGACCCACAAGTCGCTTCCACTCAAGAAAGCCCGCCGAGGCGCTCCTCCACATCTGCACAAGGAACACCGAACATCATCTACTGCATGGTACATATCGACAACTGCACACCCGGATCACCACCCACTTACGCACTAGACGAAGAAGAACTCCCGCCGCCGCGCTCACAAGGACTTCAGGTCAACCCGACATACGCTGCGGTCGCCAACGCCGAACCCACCGGGCGAAACACCTGGTTCTTGGACAGCTGCTGCGGTCAACACATGTGTTCTTCCGGGCGCTTCGTGCAACGAGAACGACGCCTCAACCGCGACGTCATCATCACCGTCGCCAACAACGAGAACCTGAAAACAAATAGACAAGGAGTGGTCCAGTTACAGTCCATGGAAACTAATGTCATCCTGCAACTCAACAAGGTTCTAATCGTCGACAACTTGGGATACAATCTGCTAAGCGTCAGCCAGCTAATGGCAAAAGGAATTCACCTGGAATGCGACTCGGACTCCAACGAGTTTCGCCTTTACCACGGGAAGGGCGGTATCTTCATCGGTCGCGCTCTACTGAAGTCCGGCGTCTTCGTGTTGGACTTCGTCCCGGACCGCGGTACCGCCGACAGTGATGGCATCGTGTCATTCGCCGCATGGACGCACCCACCGGATCTTGACCCCGACTTCAACCAAGATGGATACTGGTACTCCAACACCATACCTGCAGCAGAAAGAACACGGGCGTTAGCAGTCATGCGACAAGAAAGACAAGTACCGGCAAGCATCTCTTCATCGACATCACCTGAAATCACAGCAGCAGGACCCAGCCGAGTATCATCACCAGCAATCCGTGGACCGCCAACCGAAGCAGATCAACTCATGCCCACCACACGCGAAGCCTGCCGAAGTCCCGCCACGGTAGTCGCGTTCTTCACCACCGACATATACCAACGCTCGCCCGGCCATCGAGCCTCCGACGACATCTGGCACCAACGCCTTGGGCATCCTGCAAACAGCACGGTACTACAAACCATCCAAGCCGAAGTGTTAGAACGGAACGCTCTTCTTACAACAAGCGGCCAAGAACTTCGACGACCTCGCGCACGGTGCTTCACGTGCTTCGAAGCAGATCTTCCCCATCAACCCTTCCCATCACATCACAATCCAAGTGCACCTGCATATGCACCGATGGAAAAGGTTTACAGCGACATCTTGAACATGCCTCGAGACGACACGGAAGCCGACTTCAACTATGACATCACGTTTATCGATGCAGCAACAAGATATGTTTGGCACTACAACCTCAAGACGCGAGATCAAGCCTTCGAAGCCTTCACGACGTGGCTCCCAATCGCTGAACGAGAATCAGGAACTAAGCTCAAGAGTTTTCAGTCCGACGGCGCACTGGAATACCAGTCACAACGATTCAGGACCTACCTGGCGGAAAGAGGAATCAGACGCCTGGTGTCTCTACCCTACGCTCACCAGCAACAGGGGGTCGCAGAAAGAATGAACCGGACCTTGCAGACGACGATGCGGAAGCTGCTCCTGGGGATGAGACTGCCCAACGCACTGTGGCCAGACGCGATGACCCATGCAGTCCACCTGGACAATTTGCTATCCTCGTCATCGCTTCCCAACAACGCATCACCGCACCTGCTGTGGACACGAAAAAGGGGCAGCACAAAATTACATCGGGTTTTCGGTTGCATGGTACACTACAGACCCCACACAGCCAGAGCAAGACGCTTCACTCAACGAGCACGATGGGGACTACACCTCGGCATCGCAAAACATTTTCAAGCATGGAAAATCCTCGACATACAAGACAAAAATACCGTGGCATCACATGATGTGATCTTCTACGAACGACTGACGCTGCAGCATTACCTGGACAATGTCGCCAACACAGAAGACCCCACCGACGGTGTCGCAGGCCTTCGCTCCTTCGCTGACCGTGCTGCCGAAGCTGACGCATCAGAAGAAGACGTACCTGGAGCTTCGGAAGCTGCCGGACCACTCCCTTACTGCTCCGTGCCAGTCCCACTCGACGACGACAATCCTCTCGATAGCAACAACCTCGACACCCTTTACCACTTCGCTGACCAAGGTTACGTTACACCTCAACCGGTCGACACAAATGTCTCAGAACGCATCGGCCCAAACTTCTTACCTGATCCAGAAGATGGTGACGAAGCAGCCTATTCCAGGAATGAAAATTCCCCTCGACACACACCCACAGGACTGCAAATCCTCGGCTTATGGGTCTCCGTCCAGCATCCGCCGCCGCCATCTCCGCGCGAGCCCACGACTCTGTCACAGGCTCTGGGGGGGGAACATAAGGCGAAATGGAAGGAGGCGATGGAAAAGGAACTAAAAGCTCTGCAAGACCGAAATACATGGAAGCTGGTACCTGCAACAAACATCAACGGGAAGAACGTCCTCTCGGGAAAGTGGGTGTACCGCATCAAGACCAATGCGGACGGTTCCATCGAACGATTCAAGGCTCGATGGGTCGTACGAGGCTTCGATCAACGATACGGAACCAACTACACAGAAACATTCGCCCTAGTCTCCTGTCACACATCCTTGTGCATCCTACTCGCCGTCGCGACTACGAAGAAACTACCACTGCGCCAAATCGACGTCGCAAATGCTTTCCTGTACGCACCTGTGGACGCTGAGATCTTCGTCGAGCAACCCCACGGATTCATCGACGACCCCACAAAAGTATGCCAGCTGATAAAATCCCTTTACGGGATCAAGCAAGCCCCGCGGCTCTGGCAGCAACATCTTCACGGTCGCCTCGTAAAAATCGGATTCCTATAGCTGCCGCATGACCAAGGCATATACCGACTGCAGAAGGAAAGAGAGTATATCCTACTCATCGTTTGCGTCGACGACCTGCTCTACATCGGTTCCACTACCGACATCGCCACCTGGTTCGAAGGGGAGCTGAAAGGGGACTTGACACTCACGGTGTCCGACACAGTGACCCAGTACCTGGGACTGAATGTCGTCGAAGACAACTCGGCGTTCTACCTACACGCTGGAAAGTACGCAGGCGTTGTCACAAAGACGTTCGGACTAACACCAACTACAGTCGCGACTCCCTACCGCTACGGGAACAACAACGACACCTCCGCAAAACTCCCCGCGAAGCAAATCCGGGAGTATCAGCAGAAGCTCGGCTGCCTACTATTCGCAGCAGTAACCTGCCGACCTGACCTATCCTACAGTGCAAGCCAGCTAGCAACGCATCTGAAGCAGCCGGAACAAGAAGATCTCGAAGAACTAAACCGGGCACTACTCTACTTCGTCTCTACGCCGACGACCGGACTTACCTACAGCAAAGTAACAACATCATCCGTACAACTACTCGAATACGTCGACGCCGACCACGCAGGAGACAGGGAAAATCGACGATCGAGAACGGGCTACATCTACCGACTAGAACCTATCGGGACTATCTCCTGGCAGTCGAGCAAGCAGGAACTAATCGCACTATCTTCGGCTGAAGCAGAATATATCGCCCTCTGTACTGCGACCAAGGAAGGACTCTACCTGCGAGAGTTGCTCGAGGAAGCGAAGATTGCGACCCTGCCCGTCTTCTCACTCCTCTGCGACAACCAATCTGCAATCAAAATCGCGAACAAGGACGGCTTCGCCAACCGAACCAAGCACATTGCCCTGCGGTATTTTTTCGTCAAAGATGAAATCGCGAAGGGGAGACTTCAACTCAGTTACTGCCCTACAACAGAAATGGCCGCAGACTACCTGACGAAGAAACTGGCGAAGGCAAAGCTCGATTACTGCATGCTGCTGACCGGGCAGACAAACGTCACCGGATCTGAACATGTCAGCACTCCAGAAACGAAGGGGAGTGTTGGAAATATCTCAAGGACTTAAGCGTTTCTGAAGTGTAACACCACAGTCGAGGAAGATCGTAACGAGTACGCGAGTCAACGGAGGTTACACAAGGGGATGGACAAAGAACACGAAAGGACTCGAAGGGTTGCAACCGGAGGTTGCGACTTACCGTTACAACTGCAAGAATGGTAACCGAAGCGACAATCGAGTCGCTGTGCGAATCGATAACCACCATTCAACTGTATTCTACAACTGCTTTACTTTCCTGCTTTCTATATATTGCTGTATGCTTGTTCA